AAAAAAGAACCTTTCAAAGCGGTAGTTGAGCATCATAGCTATTTTTAGGCAACCGATTTATGTGTTCAGATAATTAGAGCATCTCCAATGGTGTTTCAATTGTAGAATTGTAGAGGCAGTGCTTGAAAAACTTCTCCAATGGTGAACTACATCTATATGTTATGATGTGGCATGAAAGAGACATAAAAATTCTAGAACTCTTTTTACTTCTCCAAATCCAGTTAGACATGATGAGTCAATTTTTCTTCTATTTATTTATTATATGGGTCGGACGTGACTGTTTTTATTTACTCTTAAAAAAGTACCTGATGACTATAAGTTGGGTGTAAATGGGTGATAGCGAATCCAATGGAGCTATTCGAAAAATAAATATTGGCGTTGATACAATCCGAAGCTATGATATAATACAAAAATAATTTATATATTTTGTTTATTTTGTGAATGAAATTGGCGAAGGTGTGCAATATATCTTGTTAAAAATATTGGGATTTCATGCTGGTTCAAAGTTTGCTTGTCATTTTCTATGCAAGTTTTTTGCCCTTTTTTAGAACAACAAAAAAAAAAAGCAACATTTGCAATGTATAGACATTTACCAAAAATATTGTGATTTCATGCTGGTTCAAAGTTTGTTCGACATTTTCCCTGCAAGTTTTTTGCCTTTTTATAGAACACAAAAAGAAAAAAAAAACACTTGTATAGATATTTACCGTATATAGACATTTACCATTAGAGAGTTATTTATGATCATGCTAGTCTATTCAGTCCACGTAGACAGAAGGCCATATATTAATTGTCATATAGACTACAATTCACTTCCACCATTGGAGATGCTTTTAGGTGGCTAAACAAGCTAAGCTGGTTGGGCTGCCTAGGTGCCTATCATTTTATTTTAAATTAAATAATATATATTACGAACTAAGAATAATAAATATTAGAAAATATTAATATTTTTATAATTCTCATATTTCTTGCCTAGTTCCACTAGGTGTATTTCATAATTATTTTAAGCTAGCTTATAGCTTATTTGGTTAGCTTGTAAGTTTTATTTGATAGAACGAGGATTTTTAAAAGTTCGAGTTGATTTCATAAGTTTTTGAGTAGTTTTTGATTTCATAAATTTTTATTTCTGATGGCTTATTAACTAATTTTACAAAATACTTCTACCATACGAGCTAGCTTTTGAGCCATAAACTATCATCTATAAGATAAAATTTACTCATAAGCTATCAATTATTAGCTAGATTTACTAACCACAACCATAAGTTTAAAATTAACTTATAATCTATTAGATAACTTATCAGCTGGTTCTAACAATCATAATCGGATACTTAACCACATTTCATCCTTACTAACTACACAAGTAGATAATAGGTTGGCGATTTGATGGTGTGCCAACACACAATAGAATGCCAATCAATTCTCAGGCTTCTCCTTTTAAATCACTAAAGCACTTACCTTCCACAACCACAACCAAATCCTAAGGTTGCATTTGATACAAATCCCTTATAATATTTATCTCCAGATATAAATAAAAACAATTATTTTTATACTAATATATTTTATTTTAGCTCATTATTTTATATTATTAAATTAAAAAATTAATATTATCCATTTACTTACATATTTATAATTACCATTTAAACGTGACGTTAAAATTAGACATGGCCAACAAGCCATAACATTACCATTTCGTCGGGATTGGGCTGTTGACTGGCCAGCTAAGCCCGTTGACCACGGAATTTAGGCCCGACCCGGACCTGGCATATGTTTTTGATGGGCCGATTCCGGGTCTCAGTAATTAACGACCCGCTAGTTATTTTCATCTTTAAAACGATACAAAACCTTCCGAAAAAATCTTACATCCAATCTCACACACAACACACAATCAATCAATCATATCTGTCCATTGCTTCCCGGATAGTAGAGGCCCTCATTTCCGTCTTTGGAATTCAGTTGTTCCATCCCATTTCTGCAAATATAGCTAAGTTTTCTGAGGTTATGGCAGAGGAGCAACTCAACAAAGTCGAGACGGAGGCTTCCCATGAAAAGGTTGAAGCTTTAAAAGACGGATCGGAGGAGAAAACCGTAATTCCGCATCCCGCTGAGGAGAAAGCGCTTCTCGTAGTTGAAAGTAAATTGTCTGTGCTTAATTTCTTCGATTTTTGCTTCTGAAAAATCATTTTGAGTGGAAAATTTGGTGGTCCGTGTAAGGATGTGTGCATGAGTATCTTGTGATCTATGTTTATTTCCCTTTAAGGTGATTTTGTGGTCTACTATTTCTCCGTATGGAACTTTTTCTATATTTTGCCGTCTACCTCAATCTGGTTGGAGCTGCAATTTTAGTTGTAACTTGTGTTGCTTTTTTTTTTCGGTAACTTGATAATTTTAGACTTGGAAGTTAATAATTGATTGGAGAGAACAATTTTATTTCAATTTATTGCAGTTTTTTTCTTTTATATAATCTTTTCTTGCCTCCTTCACATATTTTTGTATGTATATTTTGGTGCTATCAGAAGAGTCCATAAAAAGGAAAGCCCCTGTTTTACTTCGTGAATATCAAGTTTTATTGGCATTAGCTTTATTTTTTATAAAAAAAAAAAAAAAATCCTTTTGTCCTATAACTTCCTAAAACTCTGTTTCACTACATCTATTTATACAGAGCCAGAAGCAGCTGAGGAGAAAAACCCAGAAGGCTCTATAAACAGAGGTACTCGTCTGTTTACTTTATCATGATGGGGTTCTATATACAGATTTAGGAATAATTACAGAAAATACATGAAGGTATATAATAGTTACAAGTATTTCCAGTTATTTTTAGAAGTACAAACAGTCTTCATTTATGAGCACAGTTTTTTTAACCAATGGAGACCTCCTGGAGGTATAGTTTGTGAAATATGATGTTATATATGTTGGGTGCACTATTAATTCTAAAACACAATTGTTTCTTTTTTTCCTTTTCTTCGGACAGATTATCTCTTTTTTCTTTTTCCAATGAGTGAACCAAAACATAAAATCATCTATTCCATGAAAATTTCCTCAGATGCTGTACTTGCCCGGGTTGCAACAGAAAAGAGATTTTCTTTGATTAAAGCATGGGAAGAAAGCGAGAAGTCGAAAGCTGAAAATAAGTAAGTGTTTTTCTCTTTCCCGAGCTATCTATCATGTCATTTCATTTAACTTAATTTATTTGTATTTTAATAACAATCTAAAAATAGTATGACATTTCAAAATATAAAACGATCCTATAGTTTTTCATGACTCGTGTGGTGCATGAGCTATACATTAGTTACAATTAATGGACAACGTTTACATCTATGGTTTACCTTAAGATGAACCGACAAAACTTTTGATCCCCATGACATTACAAAAATAGCCTCATTTGTTTTGGTTCTTTTACTCTACTTCTCTTTATGAGCTGGTTTTACATACTATTTAAATAAACTTCGCTGTATTGAAATTTCATTAATGGATATTTTACTTGACTTTTAGCCCCCAAAAGACCAAACATAATAAATATCAGGCTACTGAGGTGGTGGCAGTTGTTGTGAGTATTAAGATTCACGAAATATATAAACATGAATGATATAATCTTGCATAATACATTTTTTGTGTTATATTGTATGTATACATATAGAAGACAAGATGAACAAACAAAAAGAAAGACTAAACTACTGTCAAGTGTTGATAAACAAATAACTAGAAAGCTGACTAAAAATGAACAAATATTGAATGAAAATATTTTATTTTACAGGGCCCAAAAGAAAATATCTGCAATTGGAGCTTGGGAGAACAGTAAGAAGGCGAATTTAGAGGCAGAGCTGAAGAAGATTGAGGTATAGAAACAAAGTTCCAATTACAAGGGGTATATAGTGGCATAAATTACCATAAAATTATTGGTATAAATTCTTTGTATTAGTTGATGCTTGTCAAAATTAATCAATTAAATATATATATATATATATATAGACACATTACATAACATAATCCTTGACAACAAACACCAAAATCCAGTTTTCTTTTAAAATTATGAACTCCCGGTGATATCTGCATTGATATTTCTTTATATGTATACATAAATTGCACCTCTTGAAGGGCTTGAATTTGCTACCGAATGCAAATCCCTACGGTGTGTTTCTTATGACCCCAAGGAGTTAATTCTAATTCCGGAAAATGTCAACCAAGTCTCGTAAATTATACACTGATAATGATTTGTGTTCCGAGTATGCCATTTGTGTTACAACCTTTAAACTCAAATGACCATAACTCCACATGTATATGTATGTTGTATAGGAGCAACTGGAGAAGAAGAAAGCAGAACAGATAGAGAAGATGAAGAACAAGGTTGCTCTAATCCACAAGCAAGCAGAAGAAAAACGTGCAATCGTTGAAGCCAAACGTGGTGAAGATCTTCTCAAAGCAGAGGAAATAGCAGCAAAATATCGAGCAACCGGAACAGCTCCAAAGAAATTGCTTGGCTGTTTTTAAACCAGGAAAAGAAAAGGGACGCTTATACTATATATGTGTTCTAATTTGAATTATAAGTTATGCAATCTTTTGCTGCCCTGTATGTATATTTGGGCAGATGTCAGGTAATTTGGTTCAGAATGCCTTATTTATTTGTTTATTTTATTAGCTTGTGTTCATAAGGTGCGTGGTATTTGTTTGTTTGTAGATGGGATTGTGTTTGTGTATGTTAGCTATTTAACTGTATGTATCTTTATAAGCTTTTTATGCGATGTGGAATTATAGTACTCTTCTTCAAAGTAGTAACTAATGTTTCATCCTTTATAGTGGAATTTTGATTGCTGGCATGATAAAATTTTTGCATTGGATCAAATGATCTTTAGAGATATGCATTTGGGTGTAAAATTGAAGTAGAGTGGTTGACAATTAATTTTGAGTTTGGTACACTATTTTGGTGGAGAACCAGCCCTAGGATGTTTCATATGAAATGAAAGAGTTTTAACTAGAAGGTTGTCCCATTACTTTTACATGTGTATCATTATACAAACATAACATAATTTAGGACTTTAGGGGATAAGGTTAAATAGCTAATAATTGAAATAAATCAATAGGGTCTCCAATGCATATAGTACCAATATTTCAAATACCGTACCGTATGGGATACGGTTACACTCTAAAAATATTATTATGGCCAAAATATCGGTTTATACTGGAAAATACATGCCAAAATATAGGTCAAAATACTTGTTTATACTGGATTTTAAAAAATATATATTTTTAATATATTTTATTAATTTATTTATAAAATTGAAAGTTCTACACTTAATTTTAATATGTTAATGATGGAAATTTGAAACCAAACAAAATATAATGTAATTTTATTTTATTTTTTTAAATTATTTCTTTAACTTTTCATACAATTTTAAATATAAGATGAAATAAGACTAAAAATAAAAAGTACAAACAAATATAATATAAATAAAATTTTCAATATAAAAATTGTTAATTGGAGATGTAATATTATTAAGTATAAAATTTATGTGAAGTCTAATTGTTATTACTATATGTTATTAAGCATTTATAAATACTCAAATTATATAGGATTAGATTTGACATACAATATATGAACAAGACACATCTAGTGTTATTATTCAGTTCTTATTTCGATTTTTCGGTTCGGTACGATATAAGATAGTTCGGTTTGGTCCTCGATACGAAAATTTGTAAAACTCTAAAACCATTCCATTTATTTTTCGGTCCAATTCAGTTTGCTTCGGAGAAAGTCAAACAATCAAAGGTTATTTCTTAGTTCAGAGTTATTTCTGTTCGATTTTGAAACACTTCGAAATTCTCCGAGTCTCAATCAAAATAAAAAAATAAAATAAGTTATATGTATAATATAATTCTAAAAAATAGTAAATATAATTAAAAATATTAATAAATTAAATATCGTTCTAATTGTGTTCAATCTCTTACCTGACGTGTGAACCATGGAATGAGTTATTTGATCGGTTCAATGACCGATCCAAGACGTGATTCCAGTTTGATAGGAGATGGCTTTCTAAACTAGGGGTGACTATAGTAGTTAAATAGGCTTGGGAGACTCCATCAGAAGGCACTCAATGTTTTCAGTGAAGGAAAAAATTAAAAAAGCTAGACAATCCCTGCTGACTTGGAGCAGATATTTCAAAACAGATAATGTGGCCAAAATAGAAAAGTTGTCCATGACACTAGAAGATATGAGAAAGGAAGGAGGAGATCGCAATTGGGAAGTTTGGGATCAGCTCCAGAAAGAGCTAGAAGAAGCTCACTGTTCAGAGGAAATATTCTGGCAACAAAAGGCCCGAGCTTTATGGCTCAAAGAAGGTGACCGCAACTCTAAAATTTTCCATGCGTATGCAGCGTAAAGGCGAAAGATGAATTCAATTAACAGATTACTAACAATAACAAATGTCCTGAGTGACAATCAAATAGAGATTGAGGAGACCATTTCTGCCTATTTTGAGAACCTCTATACTTCCCAGGGGTCCAGCAATGGGCATGAATTGTTGCCTCTAATTCCAACAACAATCACTGATGAGCTTAACAATATTCTTCTTGCACCAGTGGAGGAAGATGAAATTAGAAAAGCAGTATTTAGTATTCATCCCCTCAAAGCCCCAGGAGAAGATGGCATGACAAGGCTTTTCTATCAGAATTTTTGGCCAATCATAAGCAGAGATATATGTGCTGCGGTCAAGAGTTTTTTATTTATTTATTTATTTTTTCTGGACTAATGTTAAGGTACTGGAAACACACTTTAATAACTATGGTCCCAAAATGTTTTAATCCAGTATCTATATCTCAATTTCGGCCTATCAGTTTATGTCCTGTTTTTTACAAAGTGATATCCAAAATGTTTGCCCTCAGACTGAGACAATGCTTACCTGTATGTATTTCTGAGAATCAAAATGCCTTTCTTCCTGGTAGACAACTGTTGGATAATGTGATGATTGGTCATGAAAGTTTTTTCATTTCTTGAATGGACATAGGAGTGGGACTAATTACTTCATGGCATTGGAACTGGATATTGTGAAAGCATTTGATTGTGTTGAGTGGAAAGCTATTCAGTTGGCAATGCTTAGAATGGGGTTCCACAGACAGTCTGTTAAATGGATTTTGGCATGTATTTCATTTCCTTCTTTTTTAATTTGAATGGCAAATGTTGTGGCTATATCTCTGCTTCCTGAAGTATTAAACAGGGGGATCCTTTGTCCCCCTATCTATTCCTTATCATATCATAGCTTCTATCTGCCAGAATTAATGGGCAAGTGGAGAGAGGTAACTTCAGGGTATTCAAATTTCCAGGGAAGGTCCACTACTAACTCATTTGATGTTTGCATACGATACACTAATGTTTTGTAAAGCAGATGAACACCAAATCAGGATTTTGAGGGGAATCCTATAGACTTTTCAGCAATTCACTGGCCAACAGGTTAACATGGGCAAATCTACCATCTTTTTCAACAAGAATTCACCAATGGCTATACAACATCGATGTTGCTCCATGTTGCCTGGTATTCAAGTCCATTCATCTACCAGATACTTGGGATTTCCCTTGGGTATAGGGAAGTCTAAGAAAGAGGCTTTTGAATACATAGTCACAACAGTGAAGAAGAGAATAATCAGCTGGAGGAACAAGTGGCTCACTACTGCAGGAAAGGAGGTTCTTATTAGAGTTGTTCTTAATGCCCTCCATGTCTTTGCTATGTCATGCTCTGTTCTAGCAGTGGGCTTGTGTGCAGAAATCTCCAAAATATGTGCACAATTCTGGTGGAGTAAGGGTATAGATCTCAAGAGGGGAATGCACTGGATTGACTGGAATAAGCTCAAATTGACTACGCAGCATGGAGGTTTAGGCTTTCAGACATCCAATTACTCAATTCAGCCCTTATAGCAAAGCAGCTCTGGAAATTGGTTAGTGAACCAGATAGATTGGTCACCAAGGTCCTAAAATCCAAATATTTCCCACATTCAACTCTGTTTGAAGCTCAAAAGAAACAAAACTCATCATGGCTATGGAATTGTTGGCTCTCAGTACTGAAATCTTGTGGGAACTCGATGCAGATAGTTGTGAGAAATGGGAGGAGCATAAAAGTTTGAGATCAACACTGGATTCCTAACTTCATTGGCAGAGAGGTGGAGATTTTGCCTGGGAGGGATAGAGACATTGAATATGTTAGAGACCTTATGTCTCCAGTTGGAAACTACTAGGATGAGAACAAAATCAGGAGGACTTTTTCCTCTCAGTTCAGTCAAGCAATTTTAACATATACTCCATTGATTCAACACAGGAAGATGAATGGTCCTGGGCTCTGCACAAGAAAGGGACATTCTCAGTGAAATCTACCTATTCCTACCTTATCACTCAGAAATTCCTTAAGGCAGGCAAACCTCAAGGAAGTGGGGACTTACACTTAGATGCTAAAGTTCGAACCAGAAGCTGGAAACTCAAGGTGATGGGAAAGATTAAACATTTTATATGAAAATGCCATACAAGGTCTCTCCAGTAAACATGAACTTGCAGAGTAGAGGCATCCAGGTGGAGACAATTGTAGGCAGTGTGGAGAGGAGCAGGGATCTATATAACATGTACTTTTTCATTGCAGGTTTGCTAAAATGGTATGGAAGATGACACCTCTTAGCTAGAATGGTCCTTCAGGCAGAGAGACTTTTAAATCATGGTGGTGGAACATATGTCAGCTGGACAAGAGTGAGANGTGAATTTATACATTAACAACCAATTAACATTACTTTTATCTTCTTTTCGTCTACGAAATTGGACATAATAGCCCAATTGCAAATTACAGACAAAACCCAGGTCCCATACAAAAAAAAAGTCTGAAATAAAAGGGAACTATATATAGCCCAATATATTTTATTGGCTGTGCCCAACAAAGAAATAGTCAGCACAAATAACTAAGACCATTATAATAATTAATAAAGGATTTAAAAAAATCAACATTACATACATTTAATAAAAATGTGCCTGGCAGTGGCAGTTCACGCAAGAGAGACTGGCAAAGAGAAAAAGAAAAAGAGAGAAAAGAGGGAAAAGAGAGAAAATAATCAAAAAGCTTATGAAGTTTTTGTCCAATTGCTCGATAAGACGAGGTAAAATTAATTTTTCTTTATTTTTAGGTAGTAGTAAATATATTATTTTTATGTATAAATTGCAAATTCAATCCCTAATGCACTTATAGCTCTTTAAAGTGTGATATATCATAATAGAGAGTTTCATTGATTGTAAATTTATGATATTAATTTTTTTTACATCAGATATGGAGAGATATTTTAAAAAAAGGTCCTGTCAACAAGTGCTTGTGAAAATATCTCAAAAAAGGAGATACTTTGAGTCCAAATATATTGAGAGAATTTCTGGTATCACTGGGCAGAAAGAAAGTACGATCGGAAATTTAATGGTGATCGAGGAGTTCAATTTTTCTCAACTTCCCTCTGATCCCAGATTGAGAATATAAATCTCAAGATACAGTCCAAAGATTAGAGACCAAGTTTGAAGAGTATATTTGCAGAAAAGTCCTTGTCAACCGTTTGATCACCATTTTCCCATGACGAAAGCCTAAACGTCATTAATAAGCATAAAGTGTTCCCTTTGGTTTACAAACTTTTAATTTTGGCGTTGGTTTTACCGGTGCAACAACTATGACGGAACGAGTATTTTCCGCAATGAATAAGTGATGATTGGTTAAATGATAGACTATTAATTTATGTAGAAAATGAAACTTTCTTGAAAATTAGTAATGATGTTATTATCGAGCTATATCAGGCCATGAAAAACTCGTAATAAACGGCTATGAAAGTATATTTTTGTATTTGCATTTTTCGTTATAATATTTTATATTTTTTTAATTAAATAATTAGGCCCTCCCTCACTATGTTTGCTAGATCCGCCCCTGTCCGAAGCCCGCATACAACTCTCGATGTATATCATTTGGTGGTTGTGAAAGTCTCGAAATGCGGGTGTTTAAAGCAAACAGAAGACCTGCCCATTCCCTTGTCAAAGTAGCTATCCAACAATGGCAAGCTTTCTTGGAGCAAGGAATGTGACAGACTGTGTGTTCTGTTTTGTTCCTTTCTTAGTGGATATGTTTTTTGTTCTTTATTTGGCCTTCTAGATGTTGTATTTTGTAGTATTGCTGTGGTTTATGGTTTGTATGGGGTTACAAGTTCAGTCGTGTATGATTGCTTTGATCCCAGGTTGATTGAAGTTTGTTTCGTTTATGGTGTTGCCGTATTATTTTTCTATCCCACATGTGTGTGGTGCTCCCATTCCCGACTTGTGGGTTATTTGTAAACCATTTGTTATTTTGTTCTATGAGCATTTCTATCGTTTGAAAAAAAAAGTTAGACAACCTATGAACAATTATCCTAAATTCAACTATTTAACTGTTTTTGTTTGATGTAGGGGCGCTTGTTTATGGAATAATTTGTTCAAAATGAGTTATTTTGGTTAACCATAGTTAATTTTAAAAAATGTGGTATGGTTAGTTGTTAGTGGAATTTTAAGAATGTATTAAAAATATTTAAAATAAAATGATTAAAAATGATTTAATGTAAAAGTAGTAGATAAATAATTGAAAATGATTGGAAATGATAGGTAGTTAAAATTATGTGAGTGGATGAATAGTGAATTAAAGTCGATGTGATGTGTAAGAATGATTGGTTTGTATAATTTAATTATATGAATAATATTAAAGATAGTGAGATTGGATTAAAGTTGAGTTAGATTTTGAGTATGAATTGAATTAGAATGAAATAATTTATAAACAAGCATACCCTTAGCTGTTTTCTAATTTATAATCTTTTTTAATAATAAAACTTCTTAAAAAATGTCAGCAATTTAAGGAAAGGTGTAAAAGCGTAACGTGGCCGAATAAAATCAGAACTATTTGTTGAGACGCAAAAGTAGTTTAACTTTAACCATACCAATTACCATTGCCTGGAACGCAAAAGTAGTTTAACTTTAACCATACCAATTACCATTGCCACCAGTCAAAAAAGTCCAAAAGGCGACTTATCGCAACGCTAGTCCATAAAAATCACATTTCGGTAAGTAAACTCCACAACCCTCATTCTCTTTCTAGCAATGGCCCTCGAACTGTGGGAGACGCTAAAAGAATCAATCACAGCATACACGGGCCTCTCTCCAGCTACTTTTTTCACGGTTCTTGCCGTAGGCCTCACCCTTTACTACGTCGTTTCGAATCTGTTCGGGTCCTCCGATGACGGCCATATCCAGCAGAGGTCGAGAGGTTTTGAGGAACAAATGGAGCCTCTGCCGCCTCCGGTTCAGTTAGGTGAGATTACAGCTGAGGAGCTGAAGCAATACGATGGTTCTGATTCTAAGAAGCCCCTGCTCATGGCTATTAAGGGTCAGATCTATGACGTCACGCAGAGCAGGTATAACTTTTCGTTTTTTTGTTTTTTTGTTTTTTTTGTTTTTTTTTTTCTGTGTGTGTGGTTATGTTTGTTGGTGCTGCTGGGTATATGTTTGGTTTTGCAGCTGGGATGAGTTTTCTACTTTCTGGTTGTGGTGTTCCTGGGTTAGGTTTATGTGTAGGTATGTATTGAAGATTTTGGTATTGTTTCCTAAAGGGCACAAAATTTATGCGGCTATAACATATGCCAAAAATAGGGTTATAAACGAGACGAATTAATTATGTTGCTCATCAAGCTTGTTCGACATTCTATTGAATTTTTTTATTTTTTTTTGAACTTGTTTAACAATTAATGGAATTGACCTTGAACGAAGTTTTCTCGAGTTGGACAAGAGTTAAACTAGAGTAGCTTGATTCTTTTTTTACATAATTTTACTATGTCTGCTTGATAAGTTCAGTTTGAGCCAATTTCAGTTTTTATCAGATGGGGAAGTCTGTTAAACCTTGCTTTGCTTTTTTATGTTAATGGTTTGGGTTGTGGGGACTTTATGTTATTGATCAGTTGAGTATCATATAGAGAAACTAATAAATTGTTGGGAAAAGACTTTTATTTTAATTTTTCTTTTACCCATAAAACTTCTAAAATGGTAATGATATTAAATGTTTCCATTTTTGTCGATGTGGTGGAGTTGGTAATACGAATTCAAGGAAGAATAACGTTTGGAGCTTTATTGATGTTTGGTGATCCATTAGATGCTACTACTTTTACCAAAAGGAAGTGTATTTTGGAACAACTTTTAGTTACTAATTTGTGCTTTGAGCTTTGGTATCTGCGTAGTTTGCATAAATAGTGGGTTTTTAGCGTTTTGGATCTTCTTTCGTCATTGTTGGCCAACGCCGTGATTCACTTGTCCTAGTTTGTTTTGTTACGTGTTTGGTTGATGATTGTCCATTTGTTTATGCTTTCATGATGATACGGACAAGGTGATCACCTATTTTAGGTTTATAAAACTTCCTTTTCTTTTTACTTTTATTGTATAGTTGGTGGGAACCATTTTCTCGTGTTAGAATGAGCTTACTGTGAAATGTCTTGACTTCGTAAATTAGCTATTGTTACGAGATTTTCGAGATCTAAAACTTGTATATCTTTGGTCAATTAGCAATGGATGGGATTTATTTGTGGCTGATGATTGTGGTGTCTTGCTGTTTTTCTCTTTGTTACTTGAATATTATTTTGTATCCATTGATTTGAAGACATTTTATTTTACCGTGATTTTCCATACAAATTTTTGAAATTTAGTAGCATTTGTTTTAGTCTTGTATACACAAATGGATGTGCATTAGTGTGTTCCCATCTGTTACATTACATCATCAATGCAGTCTGAAATTTTGATCTAATACTTAAAAGCAATCAGAGTCCTTTTGGTGCAATCTCAAATATGGTTGTAGCCTAGTATTTCATGACCTGGCTCTTTTTCGGCTTTTTGGTGGTTGAAGGAATGAGTAACTGCTTATCCTTCCCAATTTGCCTTCATCGTTTTGGCTAGTTATATTCGACATAAATGCAAATGATCAAAAATTCCCTGTCAGGAGCATTACGTGAAATAAGTTTACTCCTAGAGTTGTATTGCAGTTTTGAGACACCAAGCTAGGTTTTATCATCAATTAAATTATTGAGACTGCCCCTGTTTTGTTTTCTGTCTCTTAATTTATCTGTGTCAAATTTCAACGATTTTGGTCTTCATAAATTATAACATGAGTTTCTGAACTGACTTATAAATTATAATGGTTATGCGCAGTATGTAGAGAAAGCCTTATGAGAAACACCCTTCTAAATATCAAGAGTTGGATGTATTTTCAAATAATGCTCATTCCTTCTTGAACTGTTCCTTTTTTTTCTTTGTTTCCAGAAAATGTGATCTTGAATCTACTTCTCTGCAGGACAATCATTGGCATTAAGAAAACATCGATTTTGAAACCCAGTGAGAAACATGAGCTTGTGGTTATTGGTTAATCGCAATAATAGTACCATTCAAACTTATATGATACCTATCAAATTGACAAATTCAATTTCACAGCTCGGGATATGCGTCTAATTTACAAATCACAAATTTTAGAAGCGGTCATTTCTAAAACATACTCAAACCTCTGTTTCTTTCTGTAGCCTAAATCATGGACCTTATGAGTGAACCTCAAAACTCGATACAACAGACATTTGCATAATGCATATACAATGTGTCACCTCTTTCACATACAGTTCTCTACATAAAACTCCATTTTATTTAATGTTGGAATTCAGGATGTTCTATGGGCCCGGTGGGCCCTACGCCTTATTTGCTGGGAAGGACGCCAGCAGAGCACTGGCAAAGATGTCTTTTGAGGAAAAAGACCTAAACGGCGACCTTACTGGGCTGGGTGTTTTTGAGCTCGAGGCTTTGCAAGATTGGGAGTACAAATTCATGAGCAAATATGTCAAAGTCGGGACCATCAAGACAACTGTAACTATAAATGAAGGCACAAGTGAAGCGCAAGCAGCCGAAAGCAATGACCCAAAGCCTGTTGATGATGAAGTCTCAAAGCCTGAGGATGTGAAGTCAGAGTCTGTCAAGGAAAGTGAAGAAAGTGTGGAGAAAAAGGAGTGATTATGGAGTCGATATGTGAGGTTAAGTGTGAAATTAGGAGAATCTGCTTTTATATTATTGTGATGCATAGAGGTGTACTTTTTAAGTGTGTGATAGTGCTATAATGAACGGGTTTACAGTAAGTTATGGTTGAAACTTGAAACTTATGGAGACAGGTTTTTTATGTAATGATAACCTTTACCTTTGGCTTTGCCTTTCTTTTCAATTTTTTTTCCCTACCCTTCATGCTTAGCATCGTTGTTCTAAGGTGACGTACTGATGTTTATTAGTTCAAGTAGTTTCTTGGGTCTTTTTACTTTCTTTCTGGTGGCTTTTCCTGTGTTCCTTGTATGTTGATTCTTGCTGTTAGTTTATTGCAGGAAGGGCAGAGTATTTGTTGAAGAATCTATTAACCTTTGTTGTCAAACGTGGTAAGCTAGTCTAATAAAAGCTTCCACAACCCTCTCATATATTCAATTAAAAATTAACTCTATCATTTGCATCATCTCCACAACATCTTTCCATTTAAACATACGTTCACATTCCTATCCATTCATTTAAATACATATATGAGACTCATTATTTATTTATTCGATATAAATTTTAATATTCTATTTTTAATAAAATAAAAATTTAATATTTTTAAATTATAATAATAATGAAAATAAAAGAACACTACAAAACGAAAATAACTTAAATTAAGATTACACAAGAAAAAAATTAGAACAATTAAAAAAATAACTTTTTTAGTTGGTGGCAAAATGAGTCCAAATATGCTCAACTAAGTCGGCACGAAGTTGATAATTGCATTTAATGGCGCGAAGCTATTGGGTGACTCTACAAGTCCCTGACCTGATTGGAGTCCATTGACTCCACCTCAGCTCTCATTGCAGATTGCCAAGACTCCACGTCCCGATTTTAGAGTGCCTCACCATAGCTCCATGGGTCGATATCAAGACTATCTGGGACTGTGTCCGAAGACTCTCTCAGAAACATGAATCGATCGGGTTATCGGACAACCCTCCCACTTCGGCGAGGTACTACCTGCTTAGGTGTATCTTCGATGACACGTGTTGCAGTATTTTGTGGTGTAATATCTTCTTCACGCGGCATCGAAGTATTAACCCCCTTTATCTCCTCAATGACACATCTACTATTGGGCACATGATCCATTATATATTCTTCTTACAAGAACCGAGTATTCGTGCTAACGATCACTCTCGAGTCCTTGTGACTATAAAACAAACCACCTTTCGTTTCCTTAGGACATCCCACAAACAATCTCACTTCTGAACGTGACTCCAGCTTATCAACATCTGTCCTCAGCACAAGTGCTGGACTACCACATATATGGAGATGTATTAGACTAGGTTTACGCCCGGTCCACAACTCCATGGACATAGATGGCACTAATTTAGAAGGTACCAGGTTTAGAATGTGAATTGCTGCTTCTAAGGCATATCCCCAAAACGAATCAGGTAGTGTACTGTAACTCATCATTGCCTTAACCATATCCATAAAAGTCTTGTTCCTTCACTTCGCTACACCATTCTGCTAGGGCGTGTCTGGCGCAGTCAGTTGGGAATGAATCTCATTCTTCGATAAGTAGTACCTAAACTCTCCCGAAAGGTATTCACCAAAACGATTTGATCAAAATGACTTGCTACCATGGTTCCCAGAATCGGATCAGACATGCCGGCCGAATCAGTTTAACCGTGGACCGGCCAGCATACCGGTCCGGGTTGAGGTATGGGACCGACAGAGTAAAAAACCAGCAACGAACTGCTTGAACCGGTTAAAAACCGGTAAAATTGGAAAACCGGAAACGGTTGTCGCGGCCCAACGATTCCTTCACTGAATCTTGCCTACTACACCCAATGTTGTTTAAATAGCAGATTGTTTTTTGGTGTGTTTTCAACAATGCCCGGCCGGTTCGACCGGTCCAACTGGAAACCGGCTACTATACCAGTCCGGTTAGTGGTATGAAACCGGTAGGTTTCAAAGCCGTCCGAAAACCATTCAAACCGGCCAAAACGGGAGAACCGGAGGTGGCTGAAGCGGCTGGGCGGTTCACACTTGCATTTGCATGTAACAGCAACAGTGGCACTTAAATAGCATATATTTTTTGTTGATGTATCCGATGTGGAATCTTTAGTCTTTACAAGTTAAGGGTTATTGGGCTTTTATCATTATTGGGCCATATTTAATAATTGATTAAAGAATAACACTCTATCTGCCTAATGGACCCGATGTTTGAAAGCAGGCTGTAAAAAGAAACCAAGAAGAGAGAAAAGCAAGTCTCATTGGGCCTTACTATATATTTACTAATTTGCCATTTACCTCATTGGAGTGCAATTGATTTCAAAATATATCTTCCATTATAATATAATGATATAATCACATTATTGTTATGAAAATAATATTACTTATTAATATTATAATACCATGTTAGCTAAAATAATTAGACTATGCTCGATTTCTTATTTATTTAGAAAAAATGTCATTATATCCTATAAAATCAATGATAAAAAATTATACAATTATATATTATACATATATAATAAATAAAAATTATATATTAATTCAACCGGTTCGACCGGTTTGATCATTGGTCCGACCAGTGAACCATTGAACCGGTAGCTTCACCGATTCGATGACCGGTCCGGTTTTGACAACCTTGTTTTTCAATGTGGGTAGTGGGATAAGTAACTAAGTGTGCTCCTTGTGTTTGGGAGAGAAGATGGCTATGAGGATCTATTTGAATTGGGCCGAGATTGAAGCCCATCTCAATAGATAGAGGTAATGCTATTTACAACAGATGCTCAAATTTGAATTGGGCCAAGTCCATTGGAAATATACTATATGAAGCTTTGTTATGACTCTTGAGTTTTCATTTTTTTTTAAAGGGTGTGATTGTTTATCAATTCACTATAAAAAAAAAAATCAATCAAAACTCAAATTTAACTCAACTCCACTATCTCCAATATTATCAGTATAATTAAATAACATCAACCAACATTCAACCAATTATTCTCACATCACATCAACTTTAATTTACTATTCACCCGCTCACATAATTTTAATAACCATCACTTTCAATCATTTTTCTCTTACTTTTACATCATATCAACTTTAATTATTTTATTTTAAATATTATTTTAATATATCTACAAACAACTAACAATACTAACTTTTTTTAAAATTAACTATAGTTAAAAAAACCAATTAATTACTAGGCGAATTCAAACAATCACCCCTAAATGTGCAATGTTTATTATAATTCAAAATGATAATATACAAATGCATATAAATTAGAATATAATAATTTTTATTTTGTGAACTCTGATCCCAAAAAACCGTGCCAATGAAATGAATAAAGGGATAAAGGAGCCTTTCTTAAGGGACGAGTCAAAGGAAATAAATTTGTGATAATTGTTACCAAAATTGAATGACATAATGTCAAAAAATGAGGACTTATGGCGGGTCAAATGGGAAGAACATGGCTGAAAAATATTTACCAAAGTTGTGCGCTTGCTTCTTTAGGGCTTTTTCTCCTTTTGTTCTATCTGTGTCTTTTTTTCTGAGGGTCTAGGGTTCCTTTTCATTCTCCCTTTATTTTCGGTGTCGCGTCTTTCTCTTTTATGGTTTTCTATTCTATTCCTGGTAGTAGCACAGTTGTGGTGTTGAGGATCTAAGAGCTCTCTGAATTATGGACCAGGATCTATCGGATAAACTTCAGAAATTTAGATTGTCTGATAAAGAGGAATTAGGGGTCGATCTAGCAGAGGAGGATGTTGCCAGGGGGCTGGAAGATTGCAGAAATAGCCTGTTGGGGAAGATATATGGAGAGAAAAGAGCCAACTTCAACGGGTTGAAGGCTACTCTTAATGCAATCTGGAGCACTAAACAGGCGTTTGAGATTCGCTGCATTGGACATAATAGTTTCCAGTTTATTTTCCAGAATGAGGATGATAGAAGGAAGGTGTTGGAAGGGAAAACATGGACCTTTGATGGTTAGTACATCTTATTGAAGAATTGGGATCCCAGGAATGTTGAGTTTTCAGAGGAGGATGAAAAGGTTAACCTCTGGCTGCAGATTCAACAACTTCCACTTCACTGGCTGGTGTATGAAGCAGGGGTCAAGATTGGGAAGATCATAGGCCAGGTTTTGGATGTTTATATCCCTAGTGGAAATTGCTACTTCCTCTTTTGCTCCAATCTCTTCCTTTTATTTTGTTTTGTTTTGTTTGTTTTGTTTTGAGCCCCTTTTTGTGTTTCTCTTACCATTATTTCTCTTGGGTTTCATCTCTATCCTACCCAACTTGCTTGGGACTAAAAGACTATGTTATTGTTGTTGTTGTAAGCTGAAGGAGCCTCTTGTGAGGGGTACTTTCATTAAGCTGGGGGGAGAGAAAAAGTGGGTAGATTTTAGGTATGAGAATTTGCAGACTTTTTGCTTCTACTGTGGAGTTATTGGGCACTCAGAGAGACATTGTCTGATCAAAAAGGAGGATGTTAGCAGTAATGTGCTTAAAGTAGGTTAGTTTGGGGATTGGTTGAGAGTGTACGCCTCTAGCTGGTCTGAGTCTAGATCTTCTAGATATAATCAAGAGGGAAGTATGCCTAGTGGGGATGTTACCAAACCAGTAGATCCTAATGAGATAGTTAAGAGTCAGCCTAGGGTAGAGAGTGAGAGTGTGAGTGCTAACAGTTGTGGTAATGGGGAGAAGGGGTTATCTGAGAGTCCTAGGGCTGAGGTGGGGCAGGGTAGTGGTAATAAGTCTGATTCCTTTAACTTGGGAAATACTGAAATTTCTTATCACTTGGAGGTTCAAACCCAAGTGGACCCTTCTCCCAATGATAACCATCTTGTGGATGTCAATGTTCAATCTGCCTCCATTGGAGAAAGATTGGCAAAGAGAATGAAGAAAATCTCCGTTAGGAAGTCTCATAAGTTAGAGGTGATCAAAGAAAATATGGAGGTTGACTTGAAAGTTAACAATGAGGGATTAGATAGTGGACTAATGATAGGTCAAAAGAGTGCTTTACATGTGTCTGATTCCTCAGAGGATTCTGAGGTGGCATTGAATAACAGCCCTAAGAGGACTAAATTGTCTAGTGCTCTTACTTTGTCTAAGGTGGAGGAAACCAGCCACAACTGGTCCCAAAGTTTCCAATAAGAGTTTCTGTGTGGATTGTACAGGTCTGGGAGGACCCTCTACAATTTCCCAGTGCAAAGAGGTTTTCAAAAACCACCTCCCTGATATATTTTTCCTCTCTGAGGTTAAAAAAAAAAAAGAAAAATTTGTAGCAAATGTTTGTAAAAATCTTAAAATTGGTGATATGTGGTCTTACATCAAACTTGTTGGTACCAGGGGTGGCTTGCTGCTGATGTGGTCTAGTAAGGTTTCTATTTTAGCTATTAATCATTTTGATTTTTGTTTTGAGGTGAACTTCCTTTATCAAGGTTGTGATGAACCCCAGTGGGCTGTTTTTCTGTATGCCAGTAATTTTGCTGACACTAGGAACTCTCAATGGGGGTCTGTTTTTGCGTTTTATATTTATTTTGTAAAATTTTACTAATTCTAAACAAAAGAATATATAGTGTTGAGTTGGGATCACATGAGAATGGTAGATAGTGAAAGAAATAAGAATGAATCTGAACCATTGAATCTTGCATATCAAAGGTCACGATTGAGTCAAAATTTAAACATGGCAGTCAAATATTTAATGGCAATTATGTAATTAAGTGTTATCTTATGGTCAAACATACATAATTGACCATTTAATAGGGGGTAAAAGAGACATGTAAGTTTATTCGTGGGTCCCACCACTTACCTACTACCCAACACACACTCTCTCTCTCTCACACTTACACACACTACACGCACATCACACACACACACACACACAAACACACACAAACACACATCTTAAGCTGCCCGCCACCACATGCCGTCGCCCAATTGGCCCGCCGACGCCGTCGCCACCAGAAAGTCGCCATCGGAGTTCACCGCCGCTGCCATCCCTGAACGTTGTTGCCTCTGTCGAGCCTCCGTCAATACCCGCCACAGTCAGCCAAGTTTTCAGATTCGCCGGCCATGTCGCCTTCGTCAACACTTCGCCGCCATCACCAGCCGCCCGTCATGTTGCAGTCGACAACAATCTTGCAGACACTGAAGGTTGCCTGCCGTCTCAGCCCGCCCTCAACCACCAGCCCGTCGCCCTCTTTCAGCCACCGCCAACGAGCTTGATCCTACAGGCGATTAGGTGTTCGACGAAGCCAAGGTGGCCGAGGAAGGCGGCGTCACGACGTCGGGAGCGGTGGACAATGGACAGGGGGCGGAGCGAGCTATCGCCAATGGTGGAGATCCGACCGAACCCGTATCAGGCGACGGCGGGAGAGAGCAGTCGAGGGCGATGTCGAGGCGAGGGCGGTGGAGCTCTGGACCCCGGACCTCAGGTAGCGGTGGTCGGCGGTGGGCTGAGATGAGCAGAGAACTGTTAAACTTGTTTTGTGTGTGGGGTTTCACTTTGAGAATTTGACAAATTGAAAGGACCTATTTGTAATTTCATCAATTTTATTATATAACATCTTATTCCTTGGGTTAAATATATGACTATAAAAATACTTAATGCACAATATCGATTAATAAAATGCACAATAACAGTACACGAAATGCACAATATTGTGTGGCGGTATACACATTAAAAAAAATTATATTATTATAAAATTACATAACTGTCATCCCCTACATATTTAGAAGTTAAAAATTTATCAATTAGCCAACATTATACCAAAATGTCATAACCGTAATTATCGAGTTGGGTTTTTGGAAAAAGATGGGCGATTGATTTTTTATTTAGGTATACGACTATATGGTACATCCTTGCAATCAAAATCGTGCAATTTTATATAACACTATTGTACCACATACATTTTTTAATGATTTGTGCCAAATCATTCTAACACGTAATCGAAATAATCGATTTGTTTGAGCGGCTGAAAATACTACTGTAGATACTGAAAATAAGTTATTATTTATATTATAAGGATATATTGAGTATTTTAAAATTTCTTATTTAATATTTTTATATTAATTTTTGGTTGAAATCGATAATGTGCATTCCTACGGACACTAATGTGCATTTCGTGTAATACTATTTCAAAATTTACATTATTGTGCAGTCTTAGATTAACTATTGTGCATCATTTTCAACACTATTATGCAGGATATTATTTGTGCACTTTGCAAAGTTTATTTTTTATTTGCAAATACAAAATAACATCGAACAAAAATAATTAGTTGTTCGATTGTTTAACCAAATAACCTAAATAATCCTAATAATTCATTATTTATATTATAAATTTTAATTTAATATTTCAATGTTTTTATTCATTATTTTTATATTATTTTAGCATTTTATATTTTTTTTAACATTTTTATTTATTATATTAATATATGTGTATGAAAAAAATTATATAAAACATAATAGTTTTTATATTATTTTTGTAAGTTACAAATTTAGCACAAGCACTCAATTGAAATATAATCAAAATTCATGAAATTGCAATTAAGTCCCTGCACATTATCAAATTTCAAATGGAGAACCCCACAATTCCATGGAACCCATCGCTGCCGCAGGTGGATCTCCACTACAACCATCACTGCCGCAGGTAAATCGGCGATGCCATGGAACCCGCGCGACAACGACGGCGCCGCCTCGTCGCATAGACGGGACGCCGTAGCGGCGGCGCCGCACTATGATAATACAGATCGACGGCGACGGACGTTCTCAGGCGGCGGAGAGCCGAGGCGATGCTGGCGTTCTCGGGCTGTACGACTTCGCCCGAGGTGTTGATAGTCTTGTCGATTTCATGAACGGGTCCGTTGTGCTTATCTATCGGAAAAAATACAAGATCGATGCTGGGGTGACGGCGCCGGTGTGGAGGTCGGCATCGGCGAGCAGATGGCGGCGACATATGAGATGGATGAACGCCGGCGCTTGTTGTTTCCGGTGGATGCGCGGCGGCGACGGGTGGTGCACCGGTGGGAGGGCTGACGGCGTGCGGTGGTATGTGTGTGTGTGTGTGCTGGCAGTGTGTGCGTGCGCGTGTGAGGCGTGTGTGTAATGTATGTGTGCGTGTGTTATATGTGTGTGTGCGTGGTGTTGTGTGTGTGTTAGGTGTATGGGGGTTGATGTGGCATGATGATGTGGAGGATGATGTGTAATGTAATGACTAAAATACCCTTAATGAATGTATAAATTTGACTTTTTTATTAGCCATTAGATCATCCGATCTAATAGCTACGATTTATTTTTTATTCTTTCACTGAGCATCATTCTCATGTGAGCGCGACTTAAAATGATACTTACCCGTAGATAAAGTAACTAATTATTGAAACACAACAAAACCGTTAACATATTATATTTCAATTAAAAAAATGAAACATAATAAATGATATCAAAGCACGTTACTCCAAAATATATATTAGTATTGATACAAATGAAAAATTAATAATTTTTAATTTGAATATTTTATTAAACCTATATTTTTCTTGTTAAATTTTTATATTCATGGGTTGTAATAAAAACTATAGGAGAAATTAATTTTTTATTTGCTCGTTTGCCAATTTTGTAATTTCTTAACATTAATATTTTTTATTCTTAATTTTTATAATTATAATGAAATTATTACTACAATTAATATATCATTAATATCAGACAGTCATAATGATTAATACATATATATCTAATTAATTTTTATACTAATATATTTTTTTTTGAACATAGTGCTTTTATATTAATTTAAAACAAGCTAAGGGGCATATTAGCAATTTGCAAAATTGCAACGTGTCTTTTTGCATTTGAACTCAAATTAAATGTGTTTCAACTAGGTCTGTAAGCGAAAATTTTCAAATACAAACTTCGATGGTTTCCTCTGACGAAAACCCTCGCACCCAAATCTTCCCCGTCTCGCTTCCTCCGATTTACGGTCGTCGGCCTTCCATAGTTGTCATCGAGCTTCGCCGGCGGTCGCCGGCCCATGGCCGTTTGGCTCATGCCCCTAATATTCCGCTCTGCTATCCGTTTTCCATGGAGCTGGACCTCGCCTGTTGCGAAAGGTCTTCGTCTTTTCTGGAGCCGACTCGTGAATTCAGGGTGGTGGCTTCTCTGTTGGGCGGTGATGGAGCCGTGGTGCGGTTCAGGGGGCGGGACGCGACTCAATTGCTCGGCGACCTTATTTTGGTTGGGCGATTGGGGCGTTGCTGATGTTCGAAGTCGTCTCCCCGTTGTTCTCGCCTTTGCGTCGCAGGGGTCGTCGCGTCCATTCTTCTGCAAGTGGTGTTGGTCAGAGTGGTGATGCGGCGGTGCGGTGGCTTAGGGCAGCTTCCAGGCGGTTTAGGGTTGGGGCTGAGGCCGTGGCACTCTTTTGTCTGTTCGGGGCAATCTGGTGTTGTGGCCGTGGTGCGGGATGGCTTGGTGTTGTTTCGGATTAGGGTTTCGACACCGTTAGACAACCGTCTCGAGCTTAGCGAGACGAGCTATAAAACTTATACAAAAATTCTCTTTTTGAGCCTTATCGAATAGATCCAAGCTCGGCTCGTTAACCAAACGAGCGAGCTTTAAATGAGCTCGATCTCGGCTCGTTAAGGCCTTAACTCGAGCCTCAGGCCCTCAACGAGCCGAGCCAAACTCGTTTAATTTTATTTAGGTCAGATCCCCTATATGTATATAATCAAGACCCTAAATTGGTCAAAAAATCACAAGTCTACACAAGTCCAACCATAAACCGAAAGTAAAGATTCGTTTAATTTAACAGCACTAGTTTCAACCATGAGAAAGTTGAAAACGGATTTTGAGTTTGATTTTTGTGGTTAGATGGATGCAATTTGAGTTGATCTTTAACTCATTCCTTCATCCAAGTGTTGTAAGAAATTGACGTGTCAGCTCAAATCAGATTCACACAAATGGAAAAGTGCAAAAAAACATGACAACTAATATATCAAAAATACGTGTTATTAATACTTATGACTTTAAGTAATATAACATATAACTTACAATATTTTAAATATATTGATGTGCAAGGATAATGCACTAATTTTTATACATTATGAAACCAAAATTGAAATATAAATATGAAATTAGTTCAAAATAATATAATAGGCCATTATTGATTTGATTTATACATTTCATCAAAACTAGTACGAACCTCGTGCGATGCACGGGTAAGAAATATTCATTAATATTTATAAATTAAAAACTTTCATTAAATACTATTTATTAAAAACATGGAATGAATATGTAATACAATGTACCTATATTAATTTATTGTAAATGTTATATAAATTTTAAATTGTTCAACTAAATAAATTTGCTCACTTTATACCATATATTGATTAGTTTATTTTCCATAGAAACAACCATCAATACCAAAAATAAGTTCGTCCACTTTATACCATATATTGATTAATTCATATAATTTGAGTAATTAAGGTATCTTAAAATATGGCTTAATTACTTCCTTAAATAATGAGCCGCAATTTCCATAAGTGATCATTTAATATATACCATAAATTGTTAAATTAATTTCCAGAAATAGTAAATAGATTTTTTTTGGAGGGAAATAATTACTATTTAAAAAATAATCAAACTTATATATATATATGTATATATATATATATATATTGAAAAAGAGAGGTCAATAAATCATTTGTGGAAACTTCATAAAAAATCTCACTCAACTCATTCGACTTACTTATAATAGAAACATTTTAAATCTTCCACAAAAAACAATTATGAGGATTTTTATCAGATCCGATGAGGCAAAATCATTCCATATCAGATAAAAGTTATGTTTACACCATATCCGTGAATATGGTTATGTAATTTTTGGATAAGATATTTACACCATATCCGTGAAAACGTGCACCACAATCACATCGGCACAGGAGAATGAGGCGTCGTAGATGAATGCGAGGGATTTCTGTTGGAAGACTACAAGTAATTTCGAATTCGATGCAACCCCTGTTGCTTGGCTGGTGGATCCAGTGAGGTTGTGGATCCAGTAATTTCGAATTCGATACTTTTTTGCTAATATTTCTTAGAGTTTCTTTTTAGTTTTCATTTTATTTCTTTGTGATTCCAGTTGTTTTCTTAAGTAATTAGCCTCGGTTGCGAGGCTGCCTCGACCTTCCTCTTCCGCCGTTAGCATGGCGATTTCGGCCAGGCGCTGCTGCTCGTGGATGGACCGGGGAAGCACCGGCCCCACCTAACGATAGTGACGCGATGAGCATCTTCATGTTCTGCGAACCCGTTCATTGAAAGATAATCAACAAAATCATCGAGTTTTGAATGACCAAATAATGGGTAATAATGATGACGACGATAGCAAAATGGAGAATAACTTGATATACCTCAATTCTAGACCCAGAGGATGTACAGACAAGCTCCAACTAACCAACTAACCAGGTTTCATTTTTTTTTTATTCATTAATTAGATTCATTGGTCATGTTATGAATTTTGTGCTTTTGTGATCTTGAAGATGCGACATGTTGTCTCTTTTCTTGGAAGGAACAAGTGAATAATTTGGTTCAGAACAATCATGATCCATGAGCAGGTCGATACCTCAGAAGGGAACCTGATAAGTAATGAATGTATGCTGCGACTATGGGTGTGTGACTAAATATCTCATAAGCCTTTGGTTTCTTGCTGAATTTTTGAACAAATAGTTTTACTGAAAAATCGTGTGTTGTTAGTTCTTTTGTTTGGCATTATACACGAAGCTAAAACAAGGATAGACTTAGTTGTTTTGTTAAAAAAATGGATTTCGTAGATTTGTATGCGTCGAGTAACTCTTTCTATAAGTGGAATTTCTCGCGAAAGGGTGTTCTTATCATATTGCTCTATATTATTAGGCCCCGAGTTTTGAAAATCATCCCAACATCTGTTTCATTTTTGCCTTTCATGTTTTTTGGACATTTGGGATATTCAGAGTGAAACAACTCCTAATTGTTTAGATGGTCGTCGAGTCACTTGTTGATAAACGGATTTAATCAACGTAATGAAAGTAAAAATCACAATAAAAATTGAAGAAAATGAGATTCCGATTGAAATTCTTGAAGTCGGTTACAGAATCGGGAAGTCGGTTCTTTAATGTTCAACAAGTCGGTAAACAAAGAAGAAACCGAGTTCAATATATGTGTTTTTATCAGATTTGCCGAATCCTTCTATGGTTCTCGATGTTGCTATTTATAGTTATGTTTGGCACACCTCCCAAAGCAAATCAGCTTCGTTTTAATGGAGATTTGACAGTTTAGGGGCGGCGATGACGTAGACGAACTTTTTAGGCAATGATGAGTATGGGCGCGCCTCTATCTGTGTGACAAGCGTCACATCTGTCGGATCGAAGTCGGTACGTTTTGTAACGTCGGTATTTTGATAAACATTCAGTCTTCTACGACTTCCTGATAAGTTGTTCTTTCAACCGAGATGGTCTTTTCAAGGTTCAAACGACTTGTGCTGACGACCTTTGGAGATTTGCTGTATTATTCACAGCATCATATAAGAACGTCGTGTAAGTACCGAGATGATATTTCCGAGGTGCCGTATATTCTGTTTTACATCGCCCAAGATCCAATCCGTGATTTAGACTTCACGATTCTTTTAAACTAACCATTATTTCAAGATAATCTATCCTGATATCAACATAGAGGCCCCTGTCATTAAGAAGTAAGCGAATTATGCATACTTTTTAATGATACCTACCATCTAATTATTTCTGGTTGCCGAGTTAAGACAAGGATTTCCCATGTAAGCTGAAACCGAGGTATTTCCCTTAGACAAGAATCACACCCTTTCGCTCCTTGATCAAAGTTGTTTCATAATATAAGAAATTTATTGAGCGGTTTTCGAGAGGTTATGAACGTGTTGTCTCCAATACGCTTCTCAATGGGCACGTACCGTAATTTTCGGACATTAACGTTGGCGGTTTTGGGACACGCGTACGTACGAGATTATATCTGAACGTTATGTCACAGTAAAGGGGCACTTTCCTGAAGCGACGCGTCACTTTATCACGCGCCTCTTCCTCTTCAACGGTTAGAAAATATCGAACATATATATATAGATAAGTTCGTAGTTTCTTTTCACCAAATCTTCATTCAAGCAACCATTTGTCTCTCTGATTATCTTTTTCATATTTTGCCTCTTTTCGTTCATCTTTTTCTTCATATTTCAACAAATCCAGAATCCTTCGAAGGTTTACATCACTCTTCGGTAAGCCCTAATTTCTTCTTTTCACTTCATAATTTCTTCGTGTTGTTTTCCCTGGTTATAATTATGGCGGTGAGTGGTGAGAACGTTGGTCCAAGTAGCAGCAGTCGAACTGTGTCGGATATGAGGTTAGATGAGGAGTTGATGGAGTTGATGGGGGATTATTATCGGTGGGACCCTGTTTTTGTGGAGCATTTAGACATTCGTAAGCGTAATGTTGAAGGAGATGCCGAGGTGGAACGAGACGTTCCTGTGAGGTCGGGTTATTGGAACCGTCCTACCCGACAATGGCCTGGCGAGGACGTTCTGTTTTTGGGAGAGCCAAGCACCATGACCGACGCCGATGTAGTTCTCCTTCGTGAGTCGGTGCGGATCCCTACCTCGGTGAGAATCTTCGCTCCTTATCCAGGAGAAAGGATTCATTGCCCTCCTCCGGGTTGTGTAGGGATTTTTGCCGAAAGTTTGAGGTCTGGCTTGAGATTCCCTTTAGACAACGTCATAACTGACTACTTACGTGATTGGGGTCTCAGTCTTAGTCAGATCACCCCCAACAGTTGGAAGAAGATTATAGGGATTATGGTTCTTTTGGCGCAAAAGAAAGTTCCATTCCCTACCATTGACGAAATGAGAAGTAATCTGCTCTTTAAGAGGAGTAGGGAACGTGATGGAGTTCCCCCAACAGGCTGTTTTTTCTGTGCGGCGAGGCCGCAGCACGACTTGAAGATAGGACAGTTGATTACTGGGATACCCGAAACCCTTCATGGTTTTCAAGATGAATGGTTGTGGGTTGGCGGAGACTGGCAGTCTCCCGACTTCCGACTTGAGGCACCAATCGACGGGATGACTGTCCCAACCCGAGTTGTCTCTTCTTTCCGTAAGTTCCTTTCTTTTACTCAGCATCTCCTGACGAGTTGTTTTTCTTTCGCTAACAGGTCGGACCTTTTCATATTTGTAGCCAAAAGAAAAAAGGAACCACGATTAAGCGGTGAGTTTAGAGAAAAACTTGAAGAAATTGCAAAGCTCAGTGATTCGGAACGCAAGTGGAATCTGCTGACGAAGAATTCTAAACTTGCGGACGCGAAACTTGGACCCAAGAAAGCAATTCCCGACTTTGAACCTGGTGAGTTTTTACGGTATTGACTTAATTCATGACTGTGGACCAGATGAATTCATTGAATATTGACACGGCTTTGGTTATTTGTCTTCTTCTTTCAGTTTATTATCCGTTGTTAGGATTTTTCGGATTCCAATCGGTTCGAGAAGCAAAAGATTATCGCCGTAAATTTTCAGTGAAGGACACCAAGATGGGTCGCATGATTTTTCTGGAAAATTTGAAGAAGAAGGCTGTTACAGGTCGTGCCGCAACGGGTGACGATGTTGGAGTCACGTCGGGTGCACCGGTTTCTGTCGTGAGACCGGCCCCTGTCAATGAGCCTATTGTAGAGCCCCCCCCTGAGACAAATACCGCGTTGGTGGTTGCTACCCATTCTCCACCTCGGGAGGTCGAGAGAGTTGCTGAAGCAGTACACCCTGATCTTCATGTCATTGTCTCGAGTTCAGAGGATGTCGAGGCAGTTCACAAATCGACGGAGGAAGCCTCTTCTCAACAGAAAAAGAAGAAGAAGAAGTCCAAGAGGAAAGCAAGCGAGGAGTTAGCTATTGACCAAGAACGTCGTTCGAAGTCAAGACAAGATGTCGGCCAACTTGACTTGGAAAGGAATGCTCCAGTTCACCAAGATGGAGGAGATACTTATTTGCCAATTGATGAGGAGCGGATCTTGGAACAGAATCTGCCAGAAGATGTTATGGAAAAGTGGTTCACCCAATTCCATTCGATGATCGTCCCCAAATTCAACAATAAATTTCATCAGCCCCCCCACGTGATAGAAGCAGCTCGGGTCCCGCTGATGTCTTGGGATCCGACAACTGAAGCACGAGTGTCTGGGCTGTCGAGCTCCTACAGGTTCAGCTATGCTAAGGAAACATTGGGGAGAGCTTTGGTTGGTCTTTGTGCGATGGAGGACGAGTTCCGGATGAATGCTGCTGCACTCAACGAGCGGAAAGATAAACTGGAATTACGTGATGGTCAACTTGCATCTTTGGAGGCAGACAAGGCCAACCTGGTGACTGAGGTTGAAGAGAAGACGACCCAGCTTGTTGCAGCAAAAACCGAGATTGAAGATTTGGCTGCTGAGAAGAGGCGTCTGGAAGACGAGGTGCGCAAACTCACTGCACAGATTGGTGCATCTGAGATGGAAGCCCGGAACAATCTGAATCGTTATTTGAAAGAGCAAGAAGATCACCAACGAACCCGAGAGGAGCACCAGAAGACCCGTCAAGACTGAGCTGAGAAGGAGGCGCAACTGATACGTTTGGCGGAAGCACATGCTTCCGAGTTGAAGAAATTGGAGAAAGAGAAAGAGGCGTTCGGTGAGCTTAAGTTCACGCAGGGACTGGAAGAAGGCAAAGAACTCGGGAAACAGGAGTTCAAAGGCTCGGAGGAGATGGAGGAGGATATTGAGCTTAATTCCTGCTTAAATCTCCGGTGGGTGATTGACAGATTCGACTCAAGACTTTATGGTGTTGGAGACCTAAAGGCCATCATGCTCATGAAGATGGATAGGTTTGGGTTTGATCCTGAGATCGAAGAGATTCACGTCCCTGCAGACGAAGATGAGCGTGCATATTGCGAGATGGTATTGGCGAACACCGACGCCGACGTGGTGGCTCGTGGGTATCCTCCTTTGGACTCGAACAGACGAGCTGCTCTGCGAAAAGCATATGTCAACATGGTCCTGGAAGGAGAGAAAGAAAAGAGGGCAGAGTTTGCCGATGTGTTCATCTCCACCCTTGCCGACTTTACTGTTGAAAAGCACCTCGAATTGCTGACCCCAGATCAAATCAAGAAAGAAGTGGTGGAGTATGCGGAGAAGTTCATTGCTACGGCGGCCGAAGAGAGCCTTGAGGGAACCGAGCTAGTGCAGGGGATTGGTGACGTCAATGCTGCGAAGGTTAGGATCATCCCCAATCCTCAGGCCATGGATGCTGC